AGGCTCGTCTCTGACCTAATCCTGCTATATCCTGCTAGGTTATTTCCCCACATATCGCCTATCTGCATTTCCCCTTCCTCCTCCGCTCGTCTCAGGGACACATGTGGGTAGCTTCTGACCAAGGGGGATCCCACTGCAGCAAAATACTTGCATAACAATAACAGTATTGTTAAAACGTTTCAACTAAAAGTTTAACTTTAACCCTTTTAACCAGCCGCTGACCAGTCCTTCCAAGTACTCCACTTAGATGTGTAGTGAGTTATTATCTGTCTGCAAAAGTAACTGTCGGCCTATTCGGTATGAATATTCGAGTAGGGAAGCTGCCCGATAAGCTCAACGACTTGAAGGAATAAGTGATCCTGGTCTGCTGATCTCTGGTCCGGGTAGCAAAGCCATCTCCAGGCGAGGTCAGCGGCGGCTATTGTCTCCTTCTATTCCTTCTGTAGGGCTTAGGCGGTAATCGTCATGGTAGAATAGTTCCTTCGGAGCCCTCCGGCGGCGTTCTGGTGTGGAGGCCTCCATGCCTTTGCGTGCGCCTATCTCCTGAGGGGACCTCTCCCGTCGGCGGCTTGGTCTCTCAGCTGTGGCCGGCATCCGTAGGTCTTCGTACCAGTCAGGCACTGATATAGTCGGGATTCCTAGGTGTTTGCAGAAATCCACCGCTTCTTCGGGTAGACGCAGGGTAGATGTGCGTCCCCTGTGCTGCGCTGACAAGCAGAAAGGGAATTTCCATCTGTATGCAATGTTGTGGTTGCGGAGGTGGTCTAGCAATGGGCGCAATGCTCTGCGTTGCTGCAAGGTAATATTGGATAGGTCTTGGAAGAGCTTTACCTCAGCACCTTCAAACTTGATCACTGCCTTAGCCCGGGCCCGTTGCATAATTTCCTCCTTCAGTGGGAAGTTCTGTAGACAGCAAATTATGTCTCTTGGGATATCATCTTGCACATTACGAGGTCTCAGTGCTCTGTGGGCTCTTACAAAGTCGATTGGGGACTCCGGCAGGCGATCCAGCAACTCGTTGAAAATATCTGTCAGTGCCGCTTTAACAAAATCTGGCATGACTCTCTCACGCTGATGTTTGCGCGGCGGCCTCTATTATCGAGGTCTTCCATGTGCCTTCGCATGTCAATCAGCGAGTGGGTGGTCGAGTCTTGATGGACCCTCAGTGCATGGATAGCTGCGTCTCTCTGAGCCCCGGCCCGTTCCGCCTCTTGAAGCCTGCGGCCTATATCTTGGATGTCCTGCTTGAGCTCGGTGACCGCTGAGCTCAGCGCACTTTTGATATCCCCCGCTAGAAAGGTAAGATCTGACCTGGTTGGTAGTTGATGTATGTAGGAGGATATCCTTCCTGGCTCCAAAAAGTCGTGGGGCATCAGCGAGTCACTGCTAGCTTCAGGCGGGGCTGTCGTGGTTGGCGCCATGTTGGACGAGCGGGCCGCCGGGGTCTCTGGGCGCTGCGTTCGGAACATTTCAGGAAACTGGCGGCTCAGTTGGGTTCCTTCTGCTCCAGGTGACCTGGACTTGCCATCTTGTCTGCCTATTTTCCCCATAATTGCCTTTTGCAGGAGTCTGTAGCGTCGCTCGGGAAAGCTGGAGACGGAGCTCTGAAGTTAAGCGTCCATCTTCCTCAGCGGTTAGCCTTGTTTTTATAAATATTAATAAAGGGTAATTTACCTTCAATAGACTTAACGGTGGGATTCACTGCTAAGTTTGGATTCTGCAATTTTTAATCACAATTCTGGAATTCAAATCCAGGTAGATTTGCTCATTCCCAATTAAGATGAACACAGCTTGATTTTATTCACTTTCATTTTTATTCACTTTAATTTTTAATATCAGTGAACATTCCTTAAAAACCTGTAGTTCCACTTTTAGTTTAAAAAAAAAAAAAGGATATGTATTCATGTAATAAAGAAAGATGCAGTTAGCTTTTTTTTCCCACTAGATGTCCTCAACAGATTATGATTTATTGTAGAGGTTAAACAAATTACATTTTGATATAGTTTGTCACATTTAGATATATTTGTATATAATTATAATTAATGTAATTATCACAACTTCAACATGTTACAACAATTATTGAATTAATTAAAAGAATGATTTATGCTGTTTTAGAGGATCTCTCTTCTCCCTTGATTCATGTGTTTGATTAAAAGCATGATTAGTCTCAGCCAACTTGCTGATTTAACTAACTATTCAAACACCTATGAAAACATGGTTTAATGATGATGAGCAACACTGAAAGTTTTCATTTCACTGAAATTTTGTTAAAAATCAGGAGACTTCAACAATATTTCACCATGTACTGAAGATGTACTGGAGACAGTAAGAAAGGGGAATTTAAGGTCATTTTTTAAAATAGATTTTAAGAGCACAGTGGGCCCCAAATGGAGCTCCTTTTACCTACCCTTCTTATGCCCAATAAAGCCTCATTATTTTATGTTTTTGTTTATGTTTTTGTTTATAGAGAAAAGAAATGAAAAAATGAAAATAAAAAATGTTAGAAGGGGGCATGGCCTGGTTTGCAACCAAGATGGAGACAAAAAAAGCTGAGTTCAAACACACCAGGATATATAATTAGTTTACAAATGGAGTGGAGCACACCCACAGCTAAACCTCAGTAGGAACTGGGTATGCACCTCAGCCTAAATACCCAAGGAACTTATTCGATTTCAGCATGTGGAATTCTTTGCCATATCCCTGACCACTCAGCTCTCAGTCTTGTTTTCACGTGGGAAGCTATCCTACTTACAAGGCAGCAAACATCTGCTCTCTGACCCAGCAAGTTGACCAATTCCTCATCACATATGTCTGCCAAGAATGACAGATATACAGAACATTACCTCCAAAATCAAGACTCTGTATCTGCTGCAATCTGACCTAAGGGTGGCTATCCACATGATTTCCACAAGGCTAAGCAGAGTATGACAGAAACTGTGCTCTAAAGGAACTTTAACACTTCTCCACAATTTACAATGTGAGATTCATTAAAAATGCATAGACATCTAGAAGACATTCACAGGCACAATTTTTGGGTTCGGGGGATCACGTAGACAATGGAGCCAGAACACCTGTGCTTTGCTCTCCAAGCAATTCTCAATAGCCTGTTAGACAGGGTATTGAGGATTGACCCTCACACATGGATCTTGGTAATGTTCAGGGTCTCAATTATCACAACAGTACAGTGCAGCTCTTTACAGGAGTGTGTTCTTGGGATTTGAGATCCTTAACGTTCCCAGGATCCCACAAGAAGACACAATGGGGACATTTATCAATTTATTTGCATCATCAAAGTCTTTTAAATTATTGCATCACTGATTTCTAGTACAATTAGAGACAGATTTATTATCCCAGTCCATGCTTCATCCCTACTTGCCTTCATAAGGACAATTGTCTCAAAATTGTCTCTAAATTGTCTCTGTCTCTCTAATCTGTCTCTAAATTGTTGCAAGCTTTCAGGGAACCTCCTGGGGGACAGCTGACTAGTCCTGAAGTGCTTAGCTGACTTGAGGTTATGAAGCTGAATTATCTTTAAAGAATTCTCAGGAGGACTTCTAGAATTTGCGGGAGTTTGGAGTGTTTTTAATATAAAAAATGTTGGACACAGTTGAGAAATTATGGGAAATGTCACAAAACATGTGCAGTGAGATACATACATGAAAATGTTGCAAGAACACTTAAACTTTTCAGTTAATTAGCATGACATTTTGGTTTCTTGCACCTAAAAATTTTGTTGCACAGGCGTTCATAAATTCCCCCCAATGGCTTCACCCCTGCCTAAGTGAGCCTTCCTTAAGCCTAGGAGTGAGGTTAGTATTTTTCAGGATTTTCCCCCAAAGTGTTTTATTTTTTATTTTTGTAGTGATTTAAAAACAGGGGGTGGGGGCAGCCACATAGGCGGAACTTGCACTAAAATGCAAAATTGAATTGTTTTTGTTTTTGGATGAACTGCTAATAAAGAATATAAATTCAAAATGAACAGCCTGATTGTAGTTCACTGCTGCCCTCTGTGTGACCCACCTTCCTTTAAATACTTTTAGTATCATCTGTAGGTCTTCTGTCTCTCCAACTCCTACTGCAGATCCTATTTTTATAATTTGATCCTTGTCTGTGGCATGTATAGTTGACCATAAACACTGTTAAAATTGTATATGAACGTTTGAAATGGTTCGTCAGAATGTTCAATCCTTCCATCAGTGAATCCACTAATTTTGTTTGAAATTCCTCAAAAATGTAATCTAGGCATGATACTTGAATAGAATCACAGACACATTAAACGGGTTTTTGTGCCTAGCACATGTGCATTACAAAATGTATGATTTTTCCCAAATGTAAACTATATACACAATTAGAACTTTGTTCAGATAAAAACGTATTTTCCTCATTACTAATAAATTACTGCTATAAACTGTTGATTAGACCCTACTAAACATAAAAAAAATCGAACCAACTTTAACAAAATTAATTTTCAAACAAATTTCTACTGGTGTATGGCCAATTTATTTGACTTTTTTGTTCTCTATTAATGACAAAAACATTTGAATAAAAATTCAAGGTGATTTTGTCTAAATGAATTTCTACCTTTCCATAATTACTTTAAAAACATACACATAAACAATATTATTATAATTATGATCCCTACGGTGGGTGTACACATCAAATTCTTCTGGGCTTCATTTAGCAATTAGGATGATCCCCGTAGTTATCATTAGACTATTAATACACCTACTGGAATCAAAGCAACACAGTGCAAAGGAGGGAGTGCACAGAACTATATTAGTAGTGTCTTAATATTACTGCCTTAGATTTTCCTTATTTGATCTATTTAATGCAGTATATATTTTACTGCATGTTTATTTCATGAGAGTCCAAAATATATCTATGTAGAAAACAGTATATCTTTTTTTATATCTAAAAATACAGTGTATATATTTGACATATTTGCTATATATGAACTTTTATTGTTTTAATTTGAGTGCTTTTATTTTATTTTGGTGATCATGGGTCAGACCAATATGACTGTGGCAACCTATTTCATTATTGCTGGATTCTCAGAGCTTCCTGTTTTGCAGCTACCAATTTTTCTCCTGGTCCTGCTTATTTATTTTCTTACAGTTGGAGGTAACTCAACCATTCTTCTTCTAGTCTGTACAGATCATCGTCTCCACACTCCCATGTACTTCTTTTTGGCCAACTTGTCCATAGTAGACATTTCTTGCTCGACTATAACTCTACACAAAGCCCTTGAGACATTTATATCGGGAGATAACACAGTTTCTCTTTTTGGCTGTCTCATACAAATCTTTATCTATTTATCTTTGTTATGTGATGAGTTATTAATTTTGACAGCCATGAGTTATGACCGTTATGTGGCCATATGTAACCCATTACAATATCACACAGTGATGAATCGTAAAGTATGTTTACTTTTAGCCTCAGTGTGTTGGACTTGGGGAGTTATTGAGACCATTCCTATATTTATTGAATTACTTGGCTTTACCTGCTACACATCTTGTAAGTTAAACCACTTCTTCTGTGACATTGTGCCTCTAAAGAAGTTATCTTGCAGTGACACATCTATTCTAGAGCTTTATATGCTCATTGTCGGGATGTTAATTGCCACTTTTTCTCCATTCCTTCTGACTTTCATCTCTTATGTTTTTATTATCTCCACCATACTAAGGATCCGTTCAAGCATTGAAAGACGTAAAGCCTTCTACACATGCTCCTCACACCTAACAGTGGTCGTCCTTCTATACAGCAGTCTTATATTCCAGTACGTGATGCCACACTCATTTGTCAATTTAGACTTGAATAAGCTTTCTTCTCTGTTTAATACAGCTTTGATCCCCATACTCAATCCACTTATTTACAGTCTAAAGAATAAAGATGTGAAAGCAGCTTTTAGAAGGAAACTAAAAATAACCACAAAATAATGATGAATAGGTTTTCCCAAAGCCTTGTCATTTACTAACTGAAATGCTGCATGAGACTGGCTGAATGTTGAGGAGAGAGAGACACTCGGACCACACATACAGACTGTCGACATCGACAGAAATAAACTATTAGATCATAGATTATAGTATGTGAGGAATTACTGAAGAACAATACAATATACAAGGACAAAGCACAATAAGTAAGCCTGGGTCCTGGGTATCCTTGTGGTCCTGCCGTGGTACTGAGAGGAGGGGGGGACAAGAAGGGGAACCCTATGATCTCCAAATCCTTGAAAAAAACTCCCATCCGTCCTGGAAATCTCTGTAGATTTAAGGCCTCCAGTCCCTTGAAAAAGCTGATTTGCTAAATGCGTCGGGCACAAAGCCAAGCTGGCCACAATGGACAAACAACAGATTGAACTGTATAGAGAGCAATAAATGTTCCATGAGCTAATAGGTATGTTTTGTACTTGTTGATGCATGAGTTATTACAGCATAATATGCATAGTTCATATGTGGCAGCAGGAAGCTATTAAAGGAGAAATTAATTATTTGTGAACATTGTTTTTAAATATTTATGTTTATTTTAATAAATAAATTAAGCTTGTGTTTTATAACAAAGTTATGTCTGATGCCTCTGAAAGCCCCTAGTATATTTTGGGATCTATGGATGGTAGAGGGCTGAGGTGTTAGTGGATCTGGGAATAAATAGTCCTTGGAATTTTGTAGTATCAAGGACTAACTGAAAATCATGTAGTGGAAATTTTCCAATTTTGTTGCATCGCAAACCAGTTCAGGTGAGGGATCATTGAGCAGATTATGATATGCATTTACAATGATGGTTGTTTCTTTCATTCATCCATTTGTTGCTCAAAAATAAAACAGAGCCAACCTAAAACTTGCCCCTGACTACATCTTTTTTATGCATATGTATTCAAATAGACCTGACATTCAAATATATTTGTTAATATATATGTTGCGTACATGTTAATATATATGTTGCGTACATGCTTAGCAATGCGCTGTAACAATTTCAGGTCTTTACTATCTCAGGTCTTTTTTTTTTTATTATTTCACAGACATCACTTACCTTATCCTGCACTTTATATTCACTTCACATATTTGCAGAATAATTTTTCACATTGGACTAATCACCACGGAACCATACTGTGACTATTTTCACTATTCACAGTAAAACCAAATAGATTCACTTTCCAAGCGCAACATACCCACTTCTCTTTAAAACACTTAAACACACATTGTTGCGGCTGGTGTTTTAAATCCGACTCCTAGCGCAAACTAAGTTGTTTTGAATATCTCAGGTCTATTACTATAAGAAATAACTGTACATCACAATGCTTTTATCTATTGTTCTAATTAGAAGGATGGTTCAGGTATTGTTCAGACCACATCCAGAGTCAGCATCTTCTTCAAGAATTGATATATTGGTTCAGAAAGGACACATTGTGTAAATCCTGCTGTCTGTGCAGTTGTTGGCTATTTTCTCAAATATCTGACACAAATCAGACCCTGTTGTTGCCTGTCACCTTGTGACTTCTTACAAAGTCACAAGATTGCAGTCTAACCCTTATAGGAGATTTAAGAAATGCTTCTGCCTGTCTGTAGCGGACTGATGCCATCATCCTAGCCTACACACATTTACTGAGTGTGCCTCAAGGTCGGCTTTTTAAGGATAAAAGGTTGGGATATGGGGGGAAAAACATAATGTTGTGACCTGTGACATTGTGACATGTCAGGGATTTATCATGCAGACTTTTAAAGCCAGTAAGAAGTCAACTTTAAGTAGAAAACTGAATGATGCAAGAAATTGCTTTACCCTGTTTACATACATAAGCATCAACTCAGAGGACCTCTTGCAGTATATAAATTACTGTGCATTATTTGTTGATTGTTCAATCAATTTATTTCAAGCTAGAAAGGTTTTTATCACAGATTAGATAAAATCACTACACTTATGTTATAACGTCATGTTTTGCAGTATTTTGTGTATAAGTTAGTAGCCAAAGATTACCACATGGGATTTGGCTCATAAAATGATTGGCTGACATCTACAGTGAGTGTCTATGAGGTGCCTATTGATAACAGCCAGAAAAAGAGTATTGAGGTGGTGATAAAACAACAACTCATGAGATAAAATATTAATTCACAAGGAACAGAGGCTTTTGCATGCTTTCAAAGGATGTAATATTCATTTTAGTGGACTAAAAAACTGCAGAAAAACATATTGTAGTATTAAACAGATATAATGCAACACTTTGGGCTTTTTGAATCACTCCAAAATTGCAATGGAGAAAATCAGTTAATCTGCTAGAGCTAGAGGGAATGAAATCTATGCTTCTACGGGGCTAAGGTCATCCATACCTGGAGGAAAATGTTTTCTACAAAAATGCAAGAGAACTTGTATCTGTTCTGCTCTCTGTTAGTTGCAATATCAACCACCATGATGTAATTGTGGGTGCACATCCTAAGGAGAACCTGAACTGCGAAAGCTGTGTTCAGAAAAGGCAAGCAGAGGACAAGGGACTAGTCTCCATTATTACCTGTGGCCTTATTGCAGCTGATCTTTTCCCCATTACTGGCTTACCATGCCTTGTTCTGCACCCTGTGTGGAATTTGCCATCATGGTGGAGGCAGGCTTTCCTTTATCATGTCAAAACTGCCTGCCTGATGATTGCTGATCTGATGCCTAGTAGAGGAACAATCAAGACGAAGCAGCAAGAGAGGTGCAAAAAGCTAAAATAAATAGATTAATGAAGTAGAAGCAAGGAAATCAAGACAAAAGACATATTTTCAGGGTACTTCTCAGGCGCAATTAACATTAAAAGATATACCCAATAACATAGCATATCTTTACTTTTTGAATTCATGACCACTTTATTGTTGTCCAGGTCTGCACATGACATGCTCTTCTAACTTGAAGTTGGCAAAAATGAGGTAGTTATGTTTAGCCATATCATAGTATCCTGTTTTTTCACTAGAGTGAATTTTTTTATTTAAGGCAAATTAATAGCTAAATACACAGCATACTGTATATATAGTATATATAGTTTATGTATGATATATATATGATTGATAGAGAGAGATCTATCTATCTATCTATCTATCTATCTATCTATCTATCTATCTATCTATCTATCTATCTCTCTCTATCAATCATCAGAAAAACTAATATGAAACATTGCTTTACAAACTTACAAAAATAAAAGGGAACTGACCAAGAGCTACTGTGTTTTTTCTGGTTAGTTGTCAACCAGAAATAAACATCTGGAGTCTACGCATCCTATATCAATATGTTATTTGCACCAAATAGAAATGTGGCACGGATCTGGCAAATTCCAAATTTTAAACATTAAATCTTGCTTTTTTTGTATGGAAGGGAGGCACAGATTATGCAGCGCTGTTGTTATTTAAAAATGTTTTTGCAAATACTTGTTTTATAGTGGGTCCCCACATTGTCTCCCCTAACACGGGTACCTACATCAGCTAAGCGACTGCTGTTGAGGCACCCATGCATGCTCGTTCCTGGCCGTGACCCTGCGGCAGGCCACACCCCTCCTCCCTCCACCCAACAGGTTGATTGATGGCAGAAGGAGCATATGGCTCCTCTGCCCTCAATCTCCTCCCCCGCAACCAGGAGGTTCGGGATGCAGCATCACTTCGGGGACCGGCGCATGTGACAAGCGGCGCTGACAGGTAAGTATGGGGCGGACGGGTGGCACAGAAAGGTACTGGGTGTTTTTTACCTTAATGCAGAGAATGCATTAAGGTAAAAAATGATATGCCTTTAATACTACTTTAACCTTTTGCCGTCCGCCCGTAGTAAAAAAACGGACGGCACTGCTACATCTGCGGGCACGCACGGGCAGAAAAGACCCGACCGTTGCACACACCCGTTACCGGGTGTTTCACATATAGGCGATCAGCGGGTCCATAGCCCGCCGATCGCCTTTATGTGCTCGTTCGCGGCAGATCTCTGCTTCATCAGCTTCTTTTGGGGTCCACAGGTGATATTAGGGGTCCTAGAGACCCCTAATATCTCCATAAAGAGGACCTGTCAGTGTGCCTTTGCTATTATATAGGGGGTTGTTATCCCCCTATATAATAGCAATAACAATAAGTGCAAAAAAATAAATATAAATAAAAAAAAATAAAAGTAACACATAAAAAAGTAAAATAAAATAAAAGTCACATATAAAAAAAGGGGAAAAACCCCCCCCAAAATGTTTAACTCCCCCACCCCCACGTTTACGCGCCTATAAACGTAAATACGCGTCCGGTGCCCCAGCGCGCAAAAATTACAATTGCGCTACACATGTTACATATCGCCGCGAACGTCGCAGTGAGAGCAATCATTTTAGGGCCATCAATCACTGATAACACTAAACTGATGAGCGGTAACAGCTTTTAAAGCGTCGCCTATGGCCAATTTTGGGTATTATCGTTTTTTGAGGTTTCGCGCGCGCACGCAATTTTAAGGCTTGACATGTTTAGTGTCTTTTTACCCGACGTGACCCCATCTTTTATATTTTACCAAAAAATTGGGTAATAATAAATGTTTTATCATTTAATATAGGGGAAACTGTTTTTTTTTTTAAAATTCGGTAATTTTTCCTTAATATAGTAAAAAAATAAAACCTCCCAGTGGTGAATAAATACCACCAAAAGAAAGCTCTATCTGTCCCCAAAAAAGGGTATAAAATTCATTTCAGTACAGCGCTGCATGACGGAATAAATGTCAGTCAAAGTACCGCAGCGCTGAATACTGAAAAATGGCCTGGATGGGAAGGGGGTTTAACACCGCGGATGTCAACTGGTTAAGATGTTTATATATTTAAAAATGTATGGATCTCAAGTATATGTGAAATCTTTTTACAGCTGTCATCTATAATCATCACTGTTGCCTTGCCTGCTATACTTCTTTTAAAGCACATTGGTTACAAATCTGAAGAATGAGCACATTATGAAGAAATGCCTAATCA